CATCCTGGAGGCACTGTTGTCCGAGCTCTGAGTGAAGAACACTGGCATCTGCAGAATTCCTGAACATGGCAGGGGCTCTTTGGGCCTTTCCAGAAACAAGGGTCATATTTCCCTCTCCTTTCGCAGTTCCCCGGTGCTCCCAGTTTGCGGCTCCTGCTCCTGCTGCTGGCTGTCCACGGGGGGAGGTGGGGTCTTACCGAGACTGCCCTCCTTGGGACTAGGGCCAGGCTGCCCTCTGTTCCCACCCTCCACCCTCGGCAGCACCTAGGCCGGCGCTGGCCCAGCGTACGTGCTTGATAAAGACATTCTAACTCGGATCGGAGGTCACACGCTGTCAGAGCTGGAAAGGGCTTTGGAAACCGCTGAGTCCAGCACTAATTTTGCAGATGGTGCCACTCCAGAAGCTCACTCCGCAAAGGGCTGGTGGTTGCTTTCTCCTTAGTTATGGTCAATCCTAATGCAAATGACCATCATTCTAAATCTTTGAAAGGCGTCCTTCAGGTGATGCAGGGTGTTTCTCCTGGGACTAGTTGTGACTGGTGATAACAGTAAGAATGCTGACTCGACGCCACACCCCGAGCCACGGCCACATGGCAGTGTCGGTGCTATCACTGCTCTCCAGGTGCCGAGAGGGGGCCCAGGGCGGGCTCCTCACTCGGGGTCACGTAGCCACCGGAATGGTTGAGAGAGGACTAGGATCTGTTTTGGTCAGATGCCCAGGCCCCTGGCTCTTAGATGGGGTTCCTGACTAAAACCCCCACTTAGTGATTCACAGCGCTGGCTTCACAAACATTCCAGGGGGTCTTCATCCTAAAGGAAATTGTAAAATTCATTTCCATTTACTTGAAGTTCTCTAATTAGGGAATGACAGGGAAGGGAAGGCAAAAAGCAACTGATGATAGGGGTTGCCTCTCTAGCAAGGTCGTTAATCACTGCCCTAGAGCATGAAGGCATCTGGGCCGAGTGAAGGAAAGGGGTGCTCCCACGTCCTGCTGCAGGGACCACTGCTTCCCGTGGAATTGCTGCTCCTGCCTCCAGTCCCTCTTCTTACCCAGAACGCCCCTTCCCCTGTCACTGGCATCTAGAAGCCTAGGACTGAGGGCGTCCAGGGCAGATCTGTGTGACCTCCTGTCCCGACCACAGTGTGGCAGGCCTCCTGGTGACCACCCAGCATCCTGGGTCTTTGGGGCAGGCTGTTTGCCTCACATCTTCCCACTGCGCTTTATATCTGAGCAACATTCCTGTGTGTTTTCTGAAAGGTTAGTCCTGGGTCATTGGCACTTACACCACTTGTTTTGGTAGATCCTTCCCGAGAAGGTTAATTATATATTTGATATCCTTCCCTTTTTATGCCTGAACGATGAGGATAAGTACCCTGTGGTTTATTAACTGTCACTTTAAACCTTTTCAAATTGTCTTGTGACAAAACAGACTTTTATGTCCTTTTTGTCCAGCTTTGATGAATGGGACAGCTTCTCTGGTTAAAATAGGCCAGGATAAATAAAATCTCTCTCTGATTGGTGGGGACGGAGTTTACATGGGAAGCCATGAGTTCAAATGTGCCATTGAATAAAAGGTGACCTAACCTGTGAACTTTTACATATACTTCTCTTTCTTCTTTTGACAAATGGGGCCGGCACCTGGCACTCAGTAATTACTGAATAAGTGAAAGAAACGGCATTACTTAAGGGCATTTGATTTCTCTAAAAATTTTGATGCCAAACCCTAAAGCAAAATTTGCCACATTTCCTATTTGGTATCCCACTGATTGTTAGAGCAGAGAGCCTCTGTCCTTTAACGTTAGGGAACCCCAAAGCTCCCCTCTCCTCCCCCAGGCCATTTTGTTAAACCTTTACTTTTTGGTAAATTTGCAGTAGAATCGAGGAAGGTAAATGTCATGATGGATTGTCAGTGGTTGTTTGCAGGCGGTGTGTCCGCCTGTAAGCGTCCCATGCTTGAGAACCACTCTCCTGGGACACGCAGTATATGTAATTCAGCAGTTTATCTCTCCCTCACTTGGTATTCACTGAATTCCAGCGAGGAGCAAGGAGGGCATTTATTCAAAACTAGAGGCCTGGTGCATGAAATTCGTGCACTGGGGGCGTTGTCCCTCAGCCCAGCCTGCACCCTCTCCAATCTGGGACATCCCTCTCACAATACGGGACTGCTGGCTCCCAACCGCTCGCCTGCCTGCCTGATTGCCCCTAACCGCTTCTGCCTACCAGCCTGATCACTCCCTAACCACTCCCCTGCCAGCCTGATCAATGCCTAACTGCTCCCCTGCTGGGCCAATCACCCCCAACTGCCCTCCCCTGCTGGCCTGGTTGCCCACAACTGCCCTCCCCTGCCAGCCATCTTGTGGCCGTGGGCGCCGCCATCTCTGAGGGCATGGCAGTCAGTTAGCATATTCCCTCCTTATTGGCTGTGGGCTCTGCCATCTTTGAGGGCATGGCAGTCAATTAGCATATTTCCTCCTTATTGGCTGTGGGTGCTACCATCTTTGCGATGGCATGAGGGTCAATTAGCATATTCCCTCTATTAGCTAGGATAATTAAAGTAACAAAAATTCTGCTACGGGTTTAAAACTCTTCTCCTTCTGTTTTTAATTCATTGCAGTTTGCGGGGACCTTGTCGGATGGCTTAGGAAAGACAATGGACAACCGGCATCAGTCGGAGCGGGAGTACATCAGATACCACGCAGCCACCAGTGGCGAGCACCTGGTAGCCGGCATCCACGGCCTGGCCCATGGTAAGTCGCCTGCTGTTGGCTGTAGGACAGTGGCTCTTCTGCCATAGTCCTCAGGGGTGCCTGTTCAGCCATCCGACTGCCAGCGGGAAAAAGAGAGCTGACAACAGTGTCGATCCTGGCTTGGCATCGTGGTGCCGGTAGCCATCCTAGCTCTCTTATTTTATTCCCCTTACAATTGCTACCACCTGTGAGAGCTCTTCATTCATTTTCAAAGTGTCGTGCACACGGCCATTCCTTCCTGCGCTCTGGCTTCTGTTCCCAAGGTGTCGCAAGGTGTAAGCAACAAAACCTCTTTGTATAATATGGATCTGCTGCTTCTAGACTTGCCCTCCGCGTTCTGAGCATTCCTTCCACAGAGAGTGAGGTGTGAACCTGGCCGCCAGGTTTGTGGGCCAGATGTTTCTGACTCTTGTGTAAATACCCATTCTCTGAATTTGTTTGAATTCTGACTTTTAATGCTTTAATTCTGACTCATTTGCCTTTTGTTGTATTTTTCTCAAAACTTCTTAGCTTGGTGTTCGTCAAGGCCCTTGGACATATGAACTCAGACACCTTCCCGACCATTGTCCCCCAGCCACCCCGGGCCTCCTACTGCTCCCTGTGCCTCACGTTCCTCTGCCCTCCCTCCCCCTGCCTCACTTCATTGCCTCTCAAAACCCTGTTCAGCCTGTAAGTCCCAACTCAAAGGACATTTGCCCCGCTCCACTGTCCCCAGTTAGAGTTAATGATGATTAGCGCACACAGGGAGGGCGTGGTTGCATATGTAGCCAGCTGTGTGCATCTTGCTTCCCTGATAGGCTATGAGGCCAGGAGAGCAGGAAGACCACTTTGAATTCACCTTTGTACTTGCTACCTCACATGATACCTGGCATGTAGCTCATGTTTAGTAATGGTTACTAAAGTGAACTGTTTGTACCAGATTGCTAGAAATAGTCTGAAGCTACCAGAAAGTCATGTCAAGACTGAGAAGTTTTAATTATCAGCATTTGAAAGAAGGAGGAGGAATATCGATAATAAAAAAATCATGTGTCTCTTTGTGTTTAGGAGAGTTTTTGTTTATCAGCTTCCTAAGGGCGAGGTTTGGATTAAAATGCCTTTCTTTCCCTAAGCCTGCCCAACTGGAAAGGGAGCGTTCCCCAAGGAGACATCAAGCTAGAAGTAAAACTTGGCTGAAATTAATCTGTTTATGTGCTTTAAAAGTTGCTTGTTGGGCAATCCTTGGGGTTAGAGGTTTAATCCTTCTTTCTAGTAACTGCAGTGACAGTGCATTGGACTAATAGAGGACTGTGTTTTAATGAACATAAAATGCTTTGCTGTGCATTATTGCCTCTATTTACCCAGCATCCTTGGGATGCAGAGAGAGAGCATGGCTGTCTTCACTTTTTCAATGGACACACCAGTGTGCTGAGAAAACGGGGAATTGTTTCAAGGTCGCCAACTCCCCTCCAAGCAGGGGTCATTAGGTACTATGTACAGCACCTTCAGAACACAGGCTGTGCATTCTGAAGCGAGGAACCAGCGGCCTCATCCAAGGGCGACCCATGAAGCATAGCCAGGAGTGAGACCCCCCCTTTCACCGGTAACAGCCCCTTGGTGTAAAGCGGGGGTCATGCTCAGTTCTGTCTGCAGGTCCTGCTTGACCAGGTTCAGTCATATTCTGTCTCTGCATGAACTTGGTTCAGAAGGACGGGAAAGGGAGATTGCCTCACTGGGGCGAACGCACCAGAATCCAGAAGCGCTGTGCATTGTTAGTACATTCTCACCCAAGCAGTTTCCTTTACCAATTTGTCTCACTAGAGCTGAGGCGTCTAAAGAGCTTCCTCACACCCCCATCGTCACCAGGTAAACATCCTGTGAGTGTCCCTGGCACAGGACCCGGAAATGCTCCCTGGACTGGGCCCGCTTCCCCTTCAAGGCCACGTCCTCTTCAGCCCCAGCCAACTTCTGGCCACTGTGGAGCCTCTTTAAGGTCATTACTGTCATCTCTCAAAATGTTTGGAATATCTTTTTGACCTTGACTAATCTTTCAAACTTGCTCCCTTGAGGTTGCCGCTGGCTCTGGCAGCTTTTTAAGGATGCCCTTCATCAGGCTTTGTCATTACTCTGGTCGCCTCCACCTGCTTTCAGCCACATGTGCCACAGCTTTTACCCCGTTTCAAACGTTAGGCGGTGCTGGCAAGTCACATAGTGTTCTTTGAAAACTGAGGATCTGTATTTAGTTATCTCTCTGCCTTTTATTTTATGGGACCCCAAGTCTCCCCAAGAGCTCTGGTTTCTTGTCTCTAGATTTAATTCCACTGTCTACATCCTCTCCATAGCCCATATGCTGCCCAAGCTCTGGAGTTAAAAGTACCACTTTTAAACTCTTAGCTTTTCTTTGATTTTTAAAACTGGAACCTGCTTTACTTCTGACGAATATATAATATACATTCTCTGACTCCAAACTGAAGAGGCAGATCTGCTGGTTCTCCATCTGGAGTTGGCCTGCCTGTGGCCTGTCAAGAGACTGAGAGAACGCCCCTGAGTTACCTCGCCAGGTGCATGGAACTGAGGGGTTTGGCTTTAAATGCTGTTGCTTTTGTTCTTGGCCCAGTTACAAATAGCCCTTGTCTTTTTTGCTAGGTATCATTGGTGGATTGACCAGTGTTATAACCTCAACAGTGGAAGGTGTGAAAACGGAAGGGGGTGTCAGCGGTTTCATATCTGGCCTTGGGAAAGGGCTTGTTGGCACTGTAACCAAGCCAGTGGCAGGCGCCCTGGATTTTGCATCAGAAACAGCCCAGGCGGTGAGAGACACAGCCACACTTAGTGGCCCCAGGTCAGTGATCATGGGGGGAGTGGCTTTTGCAATTTCCAGCCCAGATCTGCTGCCTCTCCTAGTCTATCCTGCTATGTTTCATCGGCTTTAATGATATGATTTTTCAATATCTGATTACACACAATTAAGATTTCTAACTTGCCTAATATAAATACATGAAAACGAAGCACAAAAATCTGGCATGCACTTTTGCAGATCCACAGCTACGTCTGTATCTGTATTTACTGGATACACACTCACAATGTTGTTTTTCTTCACTAGAGGGGTTAGAAAATAGCATTGCATTCTTACAAACCTCCCCTGCTCACCAAACTAATTAGATCCCGCCTGCCTGTTAAGAAAACTGTCAGGCTGACGGCTGTGTCTTGCTCCTGAGCCCCATGGTGTAGTTCTGGAATCCCTGAAGTTGCAGTTCACCACGTGGGTCTGTCCCTTCCTAGTTCTTCCACTTGAAAGTGCCAGCTAGTCCCCACCTCATAACGAAACTCCCCACTAGGCGGGCAGTTCTGCTGAGGGATGCTTTTTTGCCTTGATACCAGCTGAGACAGGACATCGGCCACAGCCCATATGGCTCCAAATCCCAAGAATCCGACTACTCTAACTTAGCTATTTGTATGGGGGGCCTATTTTAGCCCCCCCCCCTTTTCAGTGACTAATTTGGGATCTTATCAACAAAGGCTATAGTAATGAATGTTACAGCTCTCAGCCAAACTGGACTCCACTTAAGCCCAGAAGGATTTTGCCGCTGCCTGCTTAATAGATAGTCCCTGAGTGAATGAGTGTGCCCTTTAGAACGCGAGGGCCGGGGCCATGTCCACACCCTCTCGCTCCCTCAAATAGGATTTGAAGAAAAATTGTCCCCAATTAAAATGAGTCCACTTGTCTGTCACCAGGAAACGTTACCAATGACACATTACTGTGTTCTGCCAGAAGGTCTTCCATCTGGAAGCAGCTGCTCTTTAAAAGGATCTGTAGAGCTGACGTTAGTTAACTTACATTCTATTCTCAGATACAGAGCCCAACCAGTCCTTGAGTATATTTTGAAGCATTTATGAAGTTAGGGGGAGGGGGGAGACTTCAGAAGTACTTCCAGCTACTTTTCCATGTCTGCTCAAAGCCCAAGAAGTCTACCTCCAGCTTTTTGTTAGGACAATGAGACCTGAAGAAGTGAAAGTAAAGTGTTCCAAAGGAACCGTCCTTATTCTTAGAATCCCAAAGCAGTCAAGGAATTGAGTGATTGGTTTCAAAAAGGGTCTGAGGTATACGTGTTAAAATGTAAAAATATTATTTTGTGATGTTAACTTTAATAACGTTGACCAGGAAGAAATCACTTGCATTTTCTGTAACGTGAGTTTGGAAGTCTCGGTAAAACGGTGCATTCTTTTAGGAGCACAGGAAAGGCACAGATGGTCGCTGCAGACAGGAGGGTGTTCATGTCTCTCTTCCCTGCTGTCCAGCATGGCCACAGAAGGTTCACTTTGGTGCCAGCCGGCATAGACCTGCCATTCAGGCATGCTCAGTCAGTGAATGCTGATTGGAACTTCCCTAAGAACTCGGGGTTGGGAATATAGCAGAGCTATATAGAGCAAGGCTGTCCTTGGTCTCAAAGGGCTACAATCAAGGTGGGCAGCAAACATAAACCAAGTAACCCTGTAAAGAGTGATTTGCTAACGTGATAAATGGCACAGGAGATGTACAGGGTGCGATGAGACCGTGTGATTAGAGAAGATGAAGGGGAAAGAAAGGCTGCTGTCGGAGCTGTGGTCAGTCAGATCAAGAAGGCCTTTCTAGGGAAGTGGTATTTGCGATGAAGCCTGAGGTATAAGTAGGAGTCGGCCAGGTGAAGAGAGAATCGTGTTCCTAGTAAAGGGGACAGAGAAGGTATGTAGTTTGCCTCAAAGCAAACAGTAACTGGGCAGTCTCACTGAAGTTTAACTGGATAGAGCAGCCATCTGCCTAGCTTTTCACTCCTTCTGGAAGCAAAAGCTTCCGTAATAAGTGAGGAGCAGCCCGGGGGTCATGGACCTGTGGGCCTGGAAGCTAAAAGGAAGGGAAATTAAGCATCGGCATCTCCTCTCTATTCCCAGAGGAGCCAGGAGTGGGAGCACGATGGCTGAAGGTATCAGAGGTGAATGGGACACATGCTAGACCCATACTGATCAGGGGCCTCCAAGAAACTGGGCCCTTCACCCTTTATTGCACTTGAAAGGCATCACAGAGGCTCCTGAAACCTTTAACCAAGTCCCCTCAGTCCACTTCCCTAGGTCCAAAAGTAGGGTCTTACTGAGGACCCACATGTTAGAGAGAAAAGAACACTTCCCAACCCCCTTCCTTAGTAGCGTTGGGCCCTTGAGCAAGTCTCCTAGCTGTCTAAGCCTCAGTTTTCATCTAAAATTAGGGATAAATATACCTGTTTACTTATTCTGCCTCTCAGAGGTTTGAGGCTCAAGTAACCAGAGTTACTTAATGCGAAACCATAAAGAACTAGAAAATGCCAGGTGGTACTGTTTTTGAAGGTCACGGATTAAAGGAGCAGCGATTCTTGCAGGTGGAGAAGTGTTTCAGAGCCTTGAGGCTCTGCTCCATGACACTGTGATCTCTCAGGAGCATGCTAGCTCTGCTCAGGGACGCGTCACCCTGGCTTCTTGGAAGTGAGATATAGCCATCCCCGCTGATTGAACAGGGTCCAGGGGTGTTACGCAGGGTTTCCCCACTGTTTAGACAACAGGGACTAACAAATGATTTGAAGGGATTAGAAGTGAGATGCTGACCGAGGGCTGACCTGAGCCCAGGGACTGAGCCAGGAGTAGAACCCAGGAGTCCAAGAGTTCTGCCTCTGAGTCTGCTCTTGGAATGAGACTTTCTGCTTCCTCTGTAATATTTCATCCAAGTAAAGGCTTAGATCTTAGCATCTATGTTTTAAATGACCCAAATTTTAAGCAGATGACAGTAAAGTAAGCCATAAAACTGTGAAGGAAGACTCCTTCCAGTAATCCATCTGAAAAGCGGCTTACAGGAAACATGGGCTCCTTTTGGTGTTTATTGGAACATGGCGTTATTTATAGGGAACCCCCCTCCTTGAGTTCTTTTAGATTAAAATACGTCCGAGTTCCGCTCCTGGTTGGAGCATGCAAGTGTTCCAGCAAGACAGCCCCCTGACTGGTCTCTGAACTTCCCACGCAGTCGACAAGTTCTTGGGAAGGCAGGTGGGGGTGGGGAGAGGAGGGCGGAGGACAGCAGAGCCTTTGGCCTCAACATGAATGTTGTGGACCAATATCCCCTGCTGCATGTGTTAACTGTACAAGTATGTGTGGTTTGGAACTGAAATAAGAAGCCTTTTCCAAGGCAACGTTCTGCTGGCTCAGGTTGCACCGTCTCGTCTACGTGTATTGGGCCACATTTGTCTGTTCCCAAGTAAAGTTTATGAAAATGGCACAGAGGCAGCCACTTGTGGTGCCATTGAAGCCATGGAGAGAAGCCTGTCGCCCTTCAGACAGACCGGGCCAAGCAGGGCACCCACCGGGCCGTGCTCAGTTCTGGGCTTGTGCACTGGGTTTTGACGGGAATACTTGCAAAGCCACTTTGGTAGAAAGCTGCAGAGCCCGGAGCAGCCATTTCACAATAGAAGGCAAAACACCACTGAGGAGAGAGGAGTGCTCGACTCTGGGCTGTTGATTTGCTTGTTTATTTCTCTGAAATCCATCTATGATAGGCTTTGGGTTGCCTGGCATTTCAGGAGCGTAGCCCGTGAAGATTGATGGAGCTGGGCCCTGAGGTTTCCTCCAAAATATTTCTTCACCTTTTTAGTCAAGACCCAAAACAGCGGGGAGAAGTGTGAGTTGGCAGAACTTGAAATATTTGAACTAATTTAGCAAAGCTCCGGAGTGTTGCAGCTTATCTCAGTATTTAAGGTAGATAAGGAGGAAGGGAGCTTGAAGGGCAGTGATAGATCAGTGTTATAGAGCTCGGACTCCAGGCCCCGTGCGGTGCCCGCACGTGTACATTCCAGTTGCCCTGAGAGCGTTGCAGTAACCTTCGGGTGGACTTCACAGAAAAGATTTATGGTGGGCATATTCCACTTCTGCAGTAAAAACACTCCTAAGTCACCACCCAAAATTTCTAAAAGACGCTTTACCTTAATGGCCTCTGAGATGTGAAATGGAAATGGTGTTTCTCGGGGAAAAGCCCTTTTCCTTACAGTGTTTGCATCTTCCCAGGGCTCTCTGCGATAAAAGGGTTAAGACCCTCTTGAGTCACAGAGCCTGAGGCCTGTCAGGTGGGAGAGGCCAGAAAGCTGGCAGCAAAGGGAAGTAGGCAGCGCTCCCCCGCTCTGCGTCCTGGTTCGGCAATGCAGCCTTCACGTATCCCACGCTGAGAGCAGCCATGTGCTCTCCTCGGTATTACATAGCACATCCAGCAGAGCCGTCTTGATTTGAGCCATTAGGGAACTTCCAAAGGTAAAAACCTAACAACAATTAAAGTGTTTCTTAGCTGCACCAGTGCTCTCAATTTTCCCACCAATGCTGCACCGGAGGCGGGGAGGTGCACAGGACCCCGTGTGTCCTGGGAAAAGCAAGTCCAAGATTTCCTTGGAAAGTTTCTGTTTTGTCTTGAAACTGTGAATTAATTTTATCCCACACTTGTTTTAATAAAATGTTTTTAATTGCTACCCAATAAAAGTAACCCTTCAGAAAGATGGGCCATGTTCTCCCGTGGCGACTCCTTCGTACTTATTCAGGAGTGTAAGGCCCTCCTCCACTTGGTTCTCTGGACGCCAGCAGCGTTGGCATGAAGTTGTGTGTTGAGAAGTGTTGGTATGAGGTTGTGTATTGGGAAGTGTTGGTATGAAGTTGTGTGTTGGTAAGTGTTGGTGTGAAGTTGTGTATTGGGAAGTGTTGGTATGAAGTTGTGTGTTGGGAAGTGTTGGTGTGAAGTTGTGCGTTGGGAAGGGTGAAAAGCCAGAGTCCAGGGCATGTTTGACCCCGAGGCTGTGTTTCTTA